AGTTGCGTTAGCGATCGATGAACGTTTATCAGCGAGCGTGTGAACAATGTTGTATACGTCCTAAGCAGTCGTCACAACCGGGGAAAAATGACGCTGTGTGTGAAGTGACCCTTCACGGTCTCGTAAAAGCTCACAATTACTAAATATTTCCTAACGGAAAGATACCCCTTCATTCTGATGCAAAATATGTTTGCGTATGTCTTCTATTAAATATACAGCAGTCGCCGGTTATTAAGCCCACCTCGGGCCCAGACCAAATCGGGCCTAATAAGCGGCGGGCGAGAGTCCTAGTTCTTGATTAGCAAACACAGTATAGGCACTACACATTAAATACGTACTGTATTCTGTGTAGAGCTTGGCTATGTACAAGAAAAGAATGCTGCTTGTCTGTATTTTACGTAATAACAAACACAAAAAAAGAAAAGAATGCTGTTTGTCTGTATTTTACGTAATAACAAAAAGAAAAAAATTATTTGCGACACATTACCAGTTGCGCACGCAGAGAGATGAGAATCTCACTCTATCCTGTTGGCAAACTGGGCTTTACGCAGAGAGATGAGAATCTCACTCTATCCTGTTGGCAAACTGGGCTTTGTAGGCGGCGACTGGGCTTATTAGCCAGATGAGAATTTCACTCTATCCTGTTGGCAAACTGGGCTTTGTAGCCGGCGAATAGGCTTATTAGCCGGCGGATTTTGCTATGTGAAATTCCGTCCCAAACTGACTTGGGTTTAATACGCGGCTGGGCCTATTAACCGTGGGCTTAATAACTGGCGACTACTGTACTTGAATTTATATGGGCATTAAAGGCGCAGGTGGAAAATTCATGCATACTCCGAATTATGCTGCATGATAATCAATATTACAACTGCACTTAAGTAATTGCTTCTAGCAGCAAACCCAGTTCAGAATTTCGGTCAACATTTGATGAGATAGACTATCCGTCGGCCATTATCTTATAAAATGAGAACTAACTTCAGACAGGGAAGCATACCTATGAGTAGTCGAAGCTCACTCGGGAAATACTTCATGTCCTGTTTAAAGAATTGGAACAGTTTCACGATGAGTACTGTAATTGGCTGGCATCAGATTTGCCAGAAAGCGATCAACCCGCAAGTCTTAGTCAAATTAAAAGGTTGTTAAGCAGCTTTATACGAGATTGCAGTTAAGGTCCCCTAAGTATATATTACCCCGCCCAACAGTATTATGTAATTAGTGGTTAAACGTTTAATTCTTGGTTAACGAGTGTAAAAGAATACTTAATTGTATTCAAAGTGACCAAAGAATATTAAATTAAAGCTATTTATGGTTATTTCAATGAGCTAAACTTAATCGACTCAATCAAGATAAACTCCTGTTGCTCGGGCAACTGATGCCTACTGATGGGAACTCGACCTCATAATTGTGGAATTTAATGAAAAATGGAAAGTCGGGCTGCTGAACATGAAAAAGTAGGTTGTTGTTATAAGTCAAAGGCAAATAAGCCCTCTAAAGATAGTCCTACCGGTCCCCCAAATGAAGATGCTGGGTGAGATGACTTGATGGAGCAAATTAGTGGTTACATGAAACTGACAACTCTTATGGTACGCTGTTAAATCTCACCATCGATATTCCTTGCAGGGTGCCTCCCGAAATTGTCCTAGGTGGGGAGTTACTTAAACGTTGGCTAAGGTGATAACTTGAAGAAAGGTCACAAAACCACTTATTCTATAAGCATATCGAATGGAATACTCACAAGGATACAATAGGTAAATTAATGTGAAAAAGATAAATGAACAAAGAAGTAAACTTGAAATGAATTAAGGGACTGCAAAATCGCCAGACAGATAACTGCGTCAAAAGTTCAATGACTCAAATTCGCAAAAGTGTTTTTCGATTGCGACCCTCTCCCAGTCTTGAATCCATAGACTTCCCGTCCAATGAGGTCTCCCCTTTCCGATACCTTGGTGTTACTCTGACATCTAACCTCCCATGTACTCTTCATATTGAAGGCCTCTTTATTAAAATCCGTAAATTTTTATATTATATCTGCCGGTTGCGTTCATATCACACCGCAAGCCCCAAGCTAGCGATTTATAGATGCCTGCATTCTCCCCTTCATTCTTTACTGCTCTCTCCACTTATTTTCCAGCTTTACCTGGTCATTTTTAAACGTATCCTCCGAATGGTCACTCTTGAGCTGCCGGCGTTTCTTATGCCTTTTTAGATGATACTATAATATAGCGACACTTTAAATTTGCTGATCGCATCCTTAGTGAGCTGGCTCACCCTCTCCACTCTGAACTAAAGGCTGCGAAATCTTCCGTCATATGTCTTGCCGTACAGCGGTGAACCACTATAAGTTCTTAGTACAACTGCTTGATATAAGGTGCTCGAAAGTAAGTAGTGAAGAAGAAAAGTGGTCTAATGCGAGACAACTGCTGGTCCACGCACAAACATGCCACTGTACATAAACGGACGACGCAGCAAGAAACGAAGAGGCTGTATAACAAAACTCACGTTTTTTCTGTGGTGACTCCTCGTCGGTAGTAGGCTCCACAGTAGCAGTGCCAAGATCTACGG